CCGTGAGGTAAATGCTACACACAAAATGACATGGGAAGATTTTTTGAAACGAAAATCCACTGAAAAGGGCAATGCAAAAACATATCAACATGCATTTCTGAAGTAGTTTCTCAACCCAAATTAACATCAATAGATTCAAAATGTTTAGACTGATCCCTGACTGAAACTTTTGAAAAGACTCTGGTTTAACGTACCTTCACTTGCAGGCGTAGGAACTTGACATAATCTACAATTTCATCAAGCATTACGGCTCTATCAGTCTGCAAGACCAACAGAAAAAGGAAATAACAGTTGATGAATACTGACATACCAAACTTAATAGAATGTTAAATCACAGTAACCATAACATGCCAAATATAGTTAATGTGTGCTGACAATCTCTGATGGAAATGTGGGAGTTAAAATAGTTAATGAAAATGATGCAGTATTGCTTTTACTTATTGATATACTTCTTTTCTGTGACATCTGTTGGCAACTTTGAAACACAGGTCACTTTAGTTGAGCATGCAACAGTTTATGACTTCACCAACTTTGCACATTTTCAGCATTTGGAAGTTGTGGTAATCTTCGTAAATGAGCATCAACTGCTTAATATAACATGTCTTACTATACTGAAATATCCAAATGTATGCCTTCTATTAGTAACTAAAAATGGAGACCAGAAACAACATCATGCAGTATCCTCATAATCTACGGAATTAGGGAAGGAAATAACGGGACATGAAGTTACCTAACAAATCAATTTCATGTTTTTACACTCTTCCCGCAAATTAAAAGACACACAAGAATAGTGGAAAACTGTACAAACGGGAAAGTTATATCCATGTGCCGCTACTATTTAGGAACAGAAGAGTTCTTTAGTTCTTCATTTTATAAGTCCCTATTGATTCTCTATCAATAAAAGCATCATAACTTGAACAGATCCAAAAAAATTGGGAGTTGCCAGTGCTACTAATTTTATCAAATATTGTTCCATCATTTCTGAACCCTGGGCATATGCATAAAGCCCACAAATGAAAACAGTGACAAGAAAGATGTTTTACCCTCTTCCTTTAAGTCTTTTCAAAAGGATGTTCACAGTAAGTGAAATTGAGTTCACTATGTAAAAGAAAGAAAACTGACCTTATTGACACTGGGAACCAACTCTTGCAATGCTCTAATTCTTTCTGCTATCCTCTCTCTACGTAACTGCGTTTAAAAAATAAAATCTGTCAGAATGGTAAAGTAACAGCAATTGAAGGCTAGGAAACAGGCCTATATACATAGTATTGAGCCTTACACCAGTGCTTGGAAATAGGATTTTTACTTCCTAGCATAGAACTGAATTCTACAACAACACATTCTTGGCAACTTACTATCATTGGGCTTAGGGACTGGCCACTTCAGAACATCTCATGCTTGTAGAGACAATGAACAAAGTAAAATTTTCTTATCAATATACACAATATAACATGACTTAGTTAGAAGATCTCCCTTGAAAAATAACCTTTCATGCTGAGGAGCTTAATTGAACCTGATTCATCTATAGTGAAAAGTTGCAGCCATAAAAAAACAAAAAAGTGGAGATGATTTTCTTTGGTCCAAACATTAGAAGCAACAAAAACATATGACCCTCGTAAAATAATTTGCTTAATTTTGGAGTACTCTACATATTATCTATACAAGAGACCACAATTGCTGTAAGAAAACCATACCCTCTCTGCAATGCTGTGTGGATCAGTAGCTTGTCCTCGCCTTGCTCTTACCCTTGGACGTATTGCTGGGGGATGTGGCATTGAAGGCATCGGTTGGCCATGAAAACCCTGTAAATATTGAACCTTACCATATTACTCATGATAATATCTTAAGAAAACGATTGATAAAATCACTCAGTAAAAGGCCAAATTCCTTCTTATTTAGAATTCGGACAATGGTTTCATCATCTTGTAACGGCAAAAAGTATCTCTACATATCTAGCTCCTTTCTCTAGGTGTGTTTGAAATTCCACTTTTCTATATATAGCAATGCTAATCTCAAGATGAATTATCCCATGTGACCTCTAACTTGAATACAAAAAATATAACCCTCCTTTTCAAAATACCTGATTCGTTACTCCAAATTATACAAGGCTAAAGGCACCCAAGTCCAGAAAAGGGAAAACAAAAGCAAGAATTTTGAACTTTCCACTTACCAACCAAATACATAAACCTTTTGAGTTTAAGTTTTGTGCACATAGATTGTTACACTATAGATTAAGTTAGACCTATTACAACATGTAAATCTTCAGAGCAAGCTTGGTATGTTAACTCGGAATAGAGTAATAACCTGCTATATTACAGGTAAATTATACTGACAGTGCAAAAAAAAAAAAAAAAAAAAAAAAACTACGCACTACCACAGTATATAACTTAAATCCTGAACTTTTCCCATCTGTATTTTTTATTCCCAAAAATAACGTGGAGCTAACAAATGCCAGTTTTAAACGAGAAATAAATTCAGAAAAATTAGGAAAACAACAAAAAGCAGAAAGGTAAAAACTTTCTAGCAGAACACTCTACACCAACTTGCTAAAAAAAGTTCCAAGAAAAAAAAACAGATTATCACAGTAAAGTTAAGTCATTTTTCTCAAAGGCTACCAAAAACCAAAAAAAAAAAAGATATACTAAGTAACAGTTACAAGTTTGAAACTTTTGTATGTCAGCTATAAGTGCTTGTGATCAAAGGCAAAAAAAAAAAAAAAAAAGTTAAATCGTTTCCAAATTTTGAAAGAAATCATTCTTTTTTTTAATCAGATTAAAGAGGAAATAGGGCCACATAAATTGAAGTAGAAGGAGTAATAGTTACAGGTTTGACAGAAGAAGAAGCTCTGCTATCAACAACATCATCTCTAAATCTCCTTCCAGGTACTGCTGAAACATCATCCATCTTCATAAATCCACTTTTCCCTCCCTCTAAACTCAACCCCAATGGAAAAGAACCGGACTGAGATGGATGATGGAACCCACCACCACCACCACCTAGTCCAACACCAAGACCCACTCCTGAAAACTGACCCGACACATCGCCGGAGTTCAGCTGCAGCATCATCGCCGGCGGAATTGCTCCGCCATCATTTCCCGCCAAATTTTGTTCTGCTCCGTTATAAGCTGGGAATCCCAAGATTTGGTCAAAGAAATCATCTGGTCCCTCTGAGGGGTTGTTAGCCATAGCTGTAACAGTTTTTTTTCTCGACCACCTTAATTTCTCAGAAAAGCATTTTTTAACATGTGTAATATTAGATGTGCAAACTAGTACTTAGTACTACTCACAAGTGTATATATATAGGAAAAGAAATGCAAGTGTGTGTTTTGAGTGTTTCTGTGTGTGCTTTGTTTGGTTGCTGCTACTTTCTATAGAACAGTGAGAGCGATGAATGAAGAAAATAAAAAGCAAATGGTGTCACCAAAAGCTTCGGTTAATAAATATATAAGCCAATAGTGTTACCAAATAAAAGCAATTGTTTAAATATTTCTCTTTTTGTTAAAACAAAAACTTTGCTTAAATGTAGACTTTATTATTTTATGTTTAAACTTAGTCCTATTGCTCAAGTGCGACTAAAAAGTTTCTCCTTTTTTAGTTTTCACTATTTGAAATCAGAAAAATCGTTCTTTGGTACATTAAAAATTAATACATATAACTTTTGCAAAAAGATGACTTGCATAACTATGGATAAATTTTTTTTGGTAGAAAGTATTTTTCTTTTAATAGGTCTTATGCTATTTAAGTAGGAATTAGTAGAAGTTCAATACCAAAATTAAAAAATATGAATAAACAAGGAAATGACTGAAATAGCCAAAAAGAGTAAGAAGGAACTTTGTTTCCAATCATAAATCACGGAAGTCGGCAGATAAGCGAGAACATTATTGGGAATAAATAGAAAACAAAAAAATTGGAAATTCTTTATTGACTTTTTACTTGTAGAATTTTGAGTTTTTCAAGTAGAAGCAAACAGCTGCTTATGGCAAAAATGACATCAATGCCTAATTTGAGAAAGTGGTTGGTTTCTACTGAAGTTACTAATGAATTGTCTCCTTCTCTTTTTCTTTTTTCTAAGCCGAGGGTCTATCGGAAACAGTCTCTCTGCCCTATCAGGATAGGGGTAAGGTCTGCGTACGCATTACCCTATCTAAACCTCACTTTGTGGGATTTTACTGGGTAATTGTTGTTGTTGGTTATAAAGTTGGACATAAACTAGTATTTTGATGGAATTTGGCCTTACTTGTTTGTCCGAGCATTTCCACTTTAACTAATCCTCTTACTTTAATATATCTAATAGATTAGTGTTATAAACTAACTGATTATATAACATCTTTCAAACTCAAATTATTAAAACTTGGCAAGCTCTGCAACTCTTTACCAAATCACATGTGAGTTACTCTACTGTTATACAATCACTCATATCTTAGCCACAGTATCTTTCAAGTGGTGTGTATATTTTTCTTTTGGTCCAGTGATGTGTATATATTCATGCATACGTCAAATTATTACGTATTTATTTTACTGATCCCTGTCCCTCTAATTTTCACCCCAATGTTATATAGCTACTCATACTATTAAGTTATTGATCTATTTAATACAAGCTATAGTTTATAAATTTATGCTTAATTATTAATTACCCTTGATTTTCAACATCGTATAAACTCAACTTGGATTATTGGTATCTAGCATGTGGTACCAGAGAATATAAGTTCTACTAGGAACTATACAACATTTCTGCTTTCTGTAATTTAATATCTTTCTAATCATTATATTTATGTCGAATCAATAAGTTCTTCTTTAGAGAATATGTGCTTCTTCGATTGTATAAAAGAGCCTTCAATAATTTTATTCAACTAACTTATTCTGTTAGCAGATGATTTTAAAAATAAAAATAAAAAGTCTCTTTATCAAGAAGCCTCAGACAATGCCCACAAGGATCACGCAATGGAGAAAATGAACACCATTGTTTAATTCACAGAAAAAAACTTACTTGCAGCCAATCAAAGGTAAAAATATCATAGAGAAGAAAACTAAAATGGTTACAAGAACAAGAAGGGTGATATCAGTGCTCTCTCAAATCCTGTGACACTTAAATATATGCGGTGGCTAAAGTTGCCAGGTGAAATTCTCTGACTACAGCTTTTAATTGTTTAAAAAAGTTACACCAGTGTTACAGTTAAAGTTAATGAATGATAAAAGATACAAATATTTTCAACTTTTACAACAAAGCTCAAGACCTGTTTAGATCTCTCTGGTTCCCACTCCATGTTGAACCGAAGGGTAGACTGAGAACCATATATAAACCCAGCGTGCTTTTGACATAAAAACATAAAGCTCGCGAAGCTTTGCAATAGACATCATATTGCCATTTGACTATTCTGTTCTATGCTGGTCTTTAGGATTGCTGTACACAGGTAACAACCACCTGGGGCCATGTTTCCTTCTCCCATAACATCGCCAATAAATCACAAAGATTACAACAATTACACACATTGGGATCGCCCACCTGCAGCAGCAAAAAGATAGAGAAGGAAATATTATAAAACATCCTCGGTCCAGGTCATGTCAGCTCACACTAGTTCACATCAAACTACGGAAAATTCTTTCACGGTTAGACCATTGAAAAAGAGGGACCTAACCAATACTACCCAGTATCATATGCGCTGATACGTAACAATTACAATATCAAACCCATTATCAAAAAGGTTTTAAAATAAAGCAACTTTGCTTCAAAAAGTTAGTCAGGAGAAGCATGTATAATGGCTGCTATAAACAATCTTGTACTGATTCTACTGATCACAGAAAAAGAGAGGAAAAAGAGCAACCCACTTTTGTACTGTTTTATTTACTAAATAGTAACGACGCTAAAACACCAAAGAGATTCACAAAGGACACCTAAAAGCAACACAATTTCAGAATAAAAAGGTAATATTTTCTGTACCTGTCCAGATCAAGGATTGGACTATACACAAGTGTTTCCCAAGTAGCTACAATAAAATGCCACGCTGGATTGTAGTAAAGTGACTCTGCAGACCAAAACATCCTTGTATATGTTTCTAAGAAGATAAAGAGAATCCATGCTCCAATCTCGACCAGAATAAACTTTATGATGAATCGTCCAACCACCACCATGAACAGTGAAAAAGCGACCAACCAATTAAAGAGTCTGTTATTATAGTCCTTAATAAATAACGACTTTGACTTCTCCAGCATCTGCATAATTGTAGATATACGGAATTCAATTATAGGCCATGCGAAATGGACAAAGGGAAGAAAGAACAACGAGAATTGAAGTCGTAGTACATCACAAACAAATTATGAATAAGCATGTATAAACAAGACATAGACGGGCTAAATGGGTAAATTTGGAGACCAAGAATAATGCCTGCTTAGTTCAATAGATAATTTATCATCTGGGACTCTTGTTTATTCATAAGACAGGTAAAGGAACTTTCCGTTGTTATCACTTGCATTGTCTTAGTAATAGCACAGGCAAAATCAGTTTCGAGGGGTTTATGTGCACATAAATTAATACAGGGAGGAGGCGGGAGAGGCAGAACTCATGCTTCTTAATTTCAACAATGAACTCACAGAGAGACCTAATAATTTTAGAAGCCACCTCCAACTAAATTGATTCCAAAGGCTCTACAAGTATTCAGACCAAGTGTCGACTCTTTCTATTCTTTTTTTCTCTTATAACTGGAAGGAGGATGTAGTCTAGTACTATTAACTAGTCCAGAGAGAATATTGAAAGAGGGGAGCAGGCAAATGATCTCATACAAGAACATAGGTGACAAATAATTCCATATTTACTAGTGGCTGTGCAACTGATGAAGATCAAAGTAAGATGCAAAAGCAACAAGATTTCCATCGTCTTTCATTTGGATAGTGAGTAGTTTTTTAATAACAAGTCAAGTCAATAATAATAGAACTGGGGGAGTGACAGCCACTTGACTGTAAGGAAAGTAGCGAAAAGCCAGGATGGCTTGGTAAGAAAGCAATCCGTTATGTGGGCGCCAACAAGTTCCTTCTCTTCTTTCTTTTTTCAAGTCATGATCAGAATGATGACATTCTTCTTTGCTTTAGAAAGGAGAAGGGAAAAGGCCAATTTGCACCACCATCCTTTTATTAGAAAAGGATTTGACTAATCACCAAGGACGAAGGGATCAATAAAAAGGAAAATTTCTTTTGTTATTCAGCTAAAAGGATATGAGTATCATTTACTGCAAGGATAATACGGTGTGTCTGTCATCCAGATTTGTATGGTCAGTTATCGGTAAAAAGGTAATTTCTGTCTAGCTTCCTGAATGTTTTTTCTCATCTGTTGACCCAGCTTGATGCAATTAACTTTCACATTCACCACAGATGGTAAAGTCTCAAGCCATGGTTCACCTTTTGGGTTCAATTGTACACTGTCCTTTACTAGGGTAGGGGCTTCTTGGTAAAATACGCCATATTTCTTTCTCTTCCGCTCTCTCCCAACACAACTAAATGCAACATTACCATTAAGAGCTGAACTATACACTCACTATATTGAGAAAAATCTTTTTGATAAAAGAGCAACCAAGTGCTAAAAACTAAATGTATTCAACCTTGATCATCCGCTTTTCATAGTTGATTTTAGAAGGTCCAACACATTCACTGTGAAAGCTTTGGTTGCATTGGAGGAAGCCAGCATTGAACTTTGCCATTGTAGGAAGTTTGAGGACCTGAAGATGGTCCATTTTGTCCTCACATCTAGTATACAAAGCTTCACACAGCTTTGAGGATTGATATTCATTCGCCAACAAGATATTCTTATACACCTGCAAAGATGTGGCAGTAAGCAAAAATCTGAGAACTACGTAAAATATGCTTTATTGCAATCAAGTCAAACCTTTTCAATCTCTTCGTCCAATTTATCAACTGATTTTTTTGCATGGTGACGACCAAAATGCTGTTCATCAAAGAGGTTCATCGCTGCCTCTTTGTGCTCTTCATGAACCTTTTGCAAAGACTCCCCTGGCATTGGTAAAACCATGTTAGCCGTCCGCTCATTGTACAGTTTCAAACACCGATCCAGAATACCCTTGTTGAAGACTTCCACAAGGGACCCTGTGGATGGAATCTCCCCTTTATTCAATGCTTCAAGAATCTGGAAACAAAATTACCAATTAAGAGCAAAGGTTTAAAAAAAACGCCATAAGTATCCAAAAGGCATTACAAATTAGGATAATTAATGGATAATCACCTGCTCAAGGAAAGATACGAACTCCTTCCCGGTGAGAGATTTACCCTGGACAATTTTTGGACGAATAATAGATGCTACAACTTCTTTTAATTGCTCCCTCTTCTTGACATAAAGAGGATCAAGCTCAGCATCCTTCATGTCACAAAGCTTTGTGCGCTGAAGATGGGGCTGTTAAAGAAATATGTGCGTTGTTATATCTGATTGTATCATTCTGGAAGTTCTTATAGAAAATCCTCAACTCTAAAAGTATACCAAGTTTGCTATATTACCTCACCATGCACGTTTACTATCCATAATACAATTTTTTTTTTTTGATTTGCACCGGGTGTCCGAGTCTCTAAGAGTCCCGACTAATCCCGGGGGTGCACAGGCCCTCGGCAAGGAGTTTCCCACAAGTGCACCACGGTTAATTCAGGTTTTACCCAGTATGATAGCCCTCAGAAATTGTTTCCACCCAGTGAGTTTCGAACTTGAGATCTTGAAAGGGAGCAAACCCCAAGGCTCAAGTCAATTGCCACCACATAATACAAATGCAACTACATAACCAAAAAATTCTTTTTCTTCATTTTCTGGGAGGAGAGGGTAGGATGGTTTTTCGAGGTAGGAGATGAAGAGGGCATACAAAGGAATAAAGCTATAGTTTAGCAACCATACCTACATATACGGACATTCAATGACCTTTCACATATAAGTTTTAATTGGTTCCCACTTCCCTTACAGGAAGAAAAAAGAAAAGAAAAAGAAAGGGTCCAACATGATGCTATAGTTATATGGTGCGACTTGCTTAAGCAAAATCAATGATCAATGCGTGTATAGGGTTTTGCTATTAGTAGGTTAGCATTGTGTCCACTTTTGCATTCCATAGAGTACGCCTAATAGCAAATTAAAAACATATCAATGGGAAGGACTTTATTGTCTTTGACCAAAAAGATAAACCTAATTTTATTCTTCTCTTGGTATCTTGCCCGCTCTCTCATTTTCTCATTGATTCGTCAGTGGTTGCCAAACCTCCGTCTGGATTGGCCCATGTTTAACAGCAGTGGTGACCTTGGCAATCTTTTTTAACAGGAGCTCTCCTGATTTGTTTTGCTGCAAAATATAGCGTATTCATCTGTTGACTCAATCCCCGAATTCTGGTGCTTGATGTAGATCTAAGTTATGCTGATTTTTATAAGCCTCATCGGTCATCAGTTCATTTTGTAATCTCTTAATGGAGGGTGTCAATTGGAAGCATAGTATGGGAGCTCGTACTATGGGAATATTGAAAAGGAAGTCATACTTGGAGGTATAGAGAGAAATTGCTGACTTAGAGAGCCATGAGGTAGCAGCTGTAAGGGCAGAGGAAGTTGGGATGGTAGAGGTAGTGCCGGACTGCCCGCTTCTGAAAATGGGCAAAAGCAGAGACAGCATCGATGGCAGCATGATACAATGAGGAAAGATGGGTATAAAGAAAAAGATTAGGAGGGTTGTTAAATTAGGTATGTTTGGTATGAAGGAAAAAGTTTTCCTCAAAAATGCTTTCTTTGGACAATGTTTTCAAAAGATGTTTTCAGATACTTAGTCGAAAATATTTGTTAAAGGCATATAATAATAACAACAAATTGGATAGTGCTTTGATTGGGAATTTAATGAAACTTGAAAAGTGATAATAAAATCCAAGTGTTGATTGGAGCAAGTAATATGAAATAAGAGTTGGAATAGTTGTAAAGCATTCTCCCCCTTATAGGTGGAAAAGTTGTCTTTGGAAAATACTTTTTGGTAACAAACACCAGAAGTGACTTCCTCATGGAAAATATTTTATTGAAAGATGATTTCTGCCACACCAAGACACCTATATCATAGTCCTTTTAATGCCTTGAACGAATGGATATTTTATGGAATGTAAAAGTGGGTGAAATGTAGCAAAACTTATGTATGAGTGTGTATGCGTGCCTGTGTACATACAGAGAGAAAGAGAAAAAATGCAAGGAAAAGTAACTGTTAACCAAACAACAATTATATGGACAAAGGAACCAAAAAAGTACAATTCAGTGGAAAACAGTGTAACCTCAAAGGTCTGTGTGATGGCAGCTCCCAATCAAAATAAAATATGTTTATCAACAATGAGCAACTATCCAAGATCAGAATTAAAACCAAAGAGGAAGAGAAAAGAGTTGGAGATTTTAGTTCAATTTGGATCCCGTACTGGGAAAGGTGTGTTTTTCCACTTGGTTGGCGGCAAGAGGAGCAATCTTGACCGCCAAGAACCTGAGGAAGAGGAAGGTTACGTATGTTAGTTGGTGCTTCATGTGCAAGGGCTTGGGCGAAGATGTTGATCACATCCTCATTCATTGTCTGGTAACATCGAGGTTATGGTGAGACATCCTTACTTGGTTTGGTACATTTTGGGTGATGCCAGACACGGTGGAAGAGGAGATGTTCAGTTGGAATTATGGTCTGAGGAGGAGAAGCAGGGCATGGAAGATTGCACCGCTAGCTCTTTTGTGGGTCATTTGNGCCTTTTATCCCTTATTTCTTTTTGGTGCACCAATAAGGTTCTTGTTTGTGTAGATGATTGGGTGTTGTTTGTAGAAAACCATCTCTCTATGTAGGTTTTGTACTTTTTGGTATACCTCTTGTACGCATGCATGTTTTCTTTGCCCAAACATTAACAAAATTGTACTTCATAAAAAAATAGACTTATCCACTAGTAAATATGTAGTCACATTGAGATGTATTATTTTTTATAACAATGGTGTCCGAACCAGCTTGCGCGCACCTCGACTATTTCACCGGATAACTACTACCTCACCAACACGTGTACCGGGTAACTCTGCCCAGCAAGACTTAGGCAGATGGGAAGAAATCAACTAGTGTTTCTTGGTCTTCATTGGGATTTGAACATTGATCTCCAAGAACCCACTTCACTGACTACTATGCCACACACTTGGGTGCCGGTCAAATTGAGATATACACGGATAATGCGAGAGAAAATTTAGATTAATCTGACATTGGCAAGGGCAGATGGCATGAATCTAAGTCCACTTAGGAGTAAAGTTATAGCAGGCAAGGAATGTAAACAAGTTGGAGCTGAAGAGGATAAGGGTGGAAACTAGCTATAAGTATGAATAAAAGAGATCAGAAAGTAGTGAGAATTGTAATAGGAGAGTAAGCTTTCTACTATCGCGGGGTGGCTGGGTGGATATATTTGGTGGTATGCTCGATGTAGCCAGAAACATCCTGTATCTTCTCGTAAAATTACCCAGAAAAAGAAAACCCAACGGCATATTCTTTGGAAGCAAGACACTATGACCATAAGAAGAGTGGAGATAGATGATAGAATAGCCTCGGCCCTTGCACCACTAAAAGAGGAAAAAAACACACGGACAGCTTAGAGAAATAATACATTTACCAGGAGCACAGACGACGTAGAGAAACAAAACATACACAGAATTATACAGGATTTTTTAAGGCTAGATAAGATATAACATCTAGTGATTGTTGCAATCACAAAAATTATCTAAATGACATCTGAGTTGACTACTTTTACTGAGCTAAGCTGTGAACTGTAAAACTCAAGGAAGAAGAAAAAGATCAATGAACATAAGAAGTTAGTCCATACTTGTGGTAAGCTGAAGGCTGTGCTATTATCACCCATTATGGCCAAAGAATCTCGAATCCGGTTCACCTGAAACCATGCATTACTATTAAAATTAATATATTAAGGTAAGCATCTTCATCATTTGCAGAACTCAAAGAGTATAAAGGGTACCTGATCAATATTTTTATCACCTGTGGTAACAGAATAAGCAACCATGGTTAGCTTATATTAGGCTTTATAGTTATTTAATATGCATGCATATAAAGGTAACTGAACCAACCATCACTATTAGGGACATGTCGTAGAGCTTCATCAACCATTTCTTGCACAGATTTTCCTTCTGTCAAAGGTACACGCTCAGACAAATTCCAAAAAAGAAACAGAACAATGAGAAAAGGCATCTGGTTATTAGATGGAAGAGAAAAGATTATGCTGCCAAAACACACTTCAAATTTTCACATTAAGCAGATAATGTTAAGCACTTCAGCTAATTAATTCATTTACACCCCTAGCCCATAAAGCATTTCACATTCACAAAATGACAAGCAATTGCACATATGAATCTTTGAGACATCTTTTCCCTACTTACGAAGAAAATCACGCTGGATGAGCCATAGTAGCTTCGCAGGTTCAAACGCAACATCTTGTCCCTACACAACACCCATCAACTGAGCATGTCATATAACATGTTAAGTAACTTTTCTTCATTTCCCCTTTCATTGAGGTAAAATTAATAGGCATCATGACTACAAATGCTTACCTTTACTCTGGGCGCAAGAAGAGCAGAGAGACGAGGATGAACCAACAGAGAGTCAGAAAAGAAACAGAGAGAATGTGAAGTTTTTAAACTAGAAACTTTTGAAACAACTCGTTAGAATCAAACCTTCCATAGAACTCCTCGGCGAGTTCAACTGCGAATGACAGCCGGGATATGTCAGCTTCACGTATCTAAAACATACAAAAAATGCACAAAACTATGATTATGGAAAGAGCTTATTCATTTAGGAAAATAGGAGAGCAAATAAACTACCACTCCCAGAGCTAAAACTTCAACCATATTGGGATGAGCTAACAATGTCCGACCAATATGTAGGCAAGAATAGGTGGAGCAAGAACTGCTTTTAATACAACTGGGTCATCCACTTCATTCTTTGGTTATCTTCTAGCACGTGCTCACCACTTAATTGATTTAAATGAGCTAAAAAAAGTTTTACGTGGTAGAAATTATGTTCTTGATCAGATGCCAAACTCTTTATAACAGCACTATTCATTATATAAGTGATGTACGCTACCAACATACCTTGAATATTTTCTACATTGGAGTTAAACATCAACACTATACATGGCATTATATTATTTGTACTTGTCAAAAGAACAAAAATGCAAGCTATGCACAATCCATATCTAGCTTATTAGTAAGTAAATGTACATTTGTCATCCATATGTAAGAGCGTTAATGTGGAATTAGTCCCCATGCTGGCATGTTCTCCACTTAGCACATGAGACCTTCAATTATTTTGCTCTGCATTTTCAGGACTTTCTTGACGAAAAAGCAAAAACAGTAAGAATAATCGATCATTTGGGTTGTGACTAGTACTATGAAATAATGGACCTTTGCTCCAGTTATTATTAGTTACATCAAGTTGAAATATTGGAGGTCTCTGTAATATCTTAAATGTGAGGCAACGCAAGTGATACTAGAAGCACGCCGGGGAGATAACATAATTCACCTATAGATTAGTTAAAGAAAATTTCTAGAAATCAGGTTAAGCTCAACTCAACTTAATAAAACTTTTGAAGTTGGAAGATAATGCTCAATAGTTGAAACAAGCCTCAATTTAAAGTACAGCTTTATTCAAGTCATATTGCACTCTGAATTAGCTTCCTGTCTACTTTAATATTTAACATCATTAAAGTTTCCCCAAATCATAAGTATGTTGTCGTATTCTCTTCTTATGATGAAGAATGTATGTCGTCATATTCTCATCTTTCCAATAATACAACTAACCCAAGTTCCAAATTTTGAAATACTAACTTTTAGCTCACCATACACTTGAGGAAATACGTGAAGCCAAGCTTTCTAAAGATAGCTCAATTACTGAGTACATCATCATCATTACATTATGGAGCCACATTAAATAGGTCAGTAAGAATCAAAGTTCTTGATCTATCATACTATAATTCAATTGCATACTCATTCCATAATCTGCTAAGCAACCTTTATCAAGAAAACAATCTGCTAAGAAACCTTTAAAACAACAACAACTACGCCTTAGTCCAAACAAGTTAGGGTCGCTATATGAATCCTCACTGCTTCATTTAGGTTCAACTCATGTCATCATCATACTGAATTAAAAATATCTGCTAAGCAACATGTTTTGTTTTGGATGACCAAGAATGGAGCCAACCCTTTGGGGCAACCACAACCTTCGAAACTCGGGGATGATGGGTCCCACTCGCTACCCTTCTCCGCTTAAATGCCAGAGTTTGGCGTAGGGCTCAAACCTGAGACCTAAGACACAAATCCCCCTGGGGGGCCTGCTAAGCAACGGGTTTTGTACAGCAAAAAGAAAGAAGAAATATATTTTTCTCTTTTAATTCTTTTACTTTTTGAGATAGATGGAGGAAGATAAAGTTTTGAAGCATGCAGAAGCCTCGATCTGAAGAAACTAAGCGTGGTTATAGTTTGAGTAAAGATTAATCTATCTAAAGCACGTTTTCTCTCTCCCCAACCCTTCCTCGTCACCCTCTTTCATAGGAATGGATGAATACAATATTTAAATGTTGATCAACATGTATAATTTCATAGAAAGAGAGTGCAAGTTAGGAAGAGTAGCGCACCGTCTCGGGGAGATTGTATATAAGCACAGAACTCATAACAGTTGCAAGGGCAAAAATCCTGAGAAAAAAAAACATCAAGAAACAACTATATTCGGTCACGGACTTATGGTAGACTGCAATATCTGAGGACATGCATATTACCGGTCATCATATACATTTGACTTTCCAATGCTTTCAAAACCTTCTGTGTCAAGGTAAAACACAGAAGTTTTTACTCCATTGATATCCATCTCTATTGGAGTGCCCCAAACCCATATCCCTGGAAGAAAAGGAAAAGAGGAAGTTAAATGATGTCCAGATCTCTTTTTGAAAGAGCAGTGTCCAGCAAAATCTTGCAAATACACCTTTTGTCTTTGTATCACGCATATGCCCAACACCAAAACCTGCAAGGATAGAACTTCATTGCTCAGTTGCTTAAAAACAGCAGAAAACCTTACAGCTACCAAGGTAACAGCAAATTTCAACAACTGAAACAAAAGGTGATGTCAGCTATCAAAAACATGGGGTGCACCTTCATAACAAGATAGGGAAAGAAGCTGATTAAGGGTAAATGATTTTCCCGAACGGTATGGACCAATAACCTGGTCAAACATTTTGCAGAAATGTTAACATACAAGAAAAGAGATTGGTAGCAACAAAATTTAGGTAAGAAACAACTCAGTTAGCAACTTCCTCCAACATAACCATATTCAGACGCACAAAAAGACAGATGTTTGATAATGTATGCAAGATTCACCAAAAAAAGCACATAACAGTACTTCCTGAGTGCCAATAAAACTAACCTACTTTCCTTCTTGGACCATTCTGAAAAAAATATATTGACCTTTTTCTTTTCAACAGAGAATTTTTCTTCTTTTTTAGTTTCTCCTTCTAACAATTAGACAAATATGAACTACCACTATTCTAGATTATTCCAAACTTGATGCAATATCTTACCTACTAAGTATTTCACTTTTCCACTTCAAACAGTTACTTTGAGCAACTTCTAAATAAATACAATTTTCTGTTCAGATATTTTGCTATGGATAACTGTGCAAGTCAAACTATGTCTAGTTTAATGAATATGGATGAGTAATAAAAAACAGGACCGACCCCTAAACATAATAACTGCAACTGCCAAGCAATATCAAGGAGACTCAAAATTCCATAGAACTTTGCAAGAGATGATAACTTTTTATTTACTAAGATATGAAAGGCAATAACCGATGCTTGAGATTAATGTAAAACCTACAGCAACAGCTGCAATGGGTGTGGTTATCTTCTCAATTGCCTCCAATCCTTCTCTTGCAAGGCGAAGTTTCGTGTGACCAGGATCAGGCTCTATAATAGGAAACCTGTCAAGTAGAAAGATAGCTATATGTTGAAACAACAAACAGCATTCTAGAAACAATACAAAGATAGCAAACTATGTACCTCCATATGAAGAAAACGACAAAAAGCTCAAATACATCTAACTAATCAAAGCTTGATGAGACAACATTGATCATTAGTCATAGTACCAATAAATGATCTAACTTCTAACACAAATGCTAAAAAGAATATACTGCAAAGCTTCTGAGTTTTCATCTTCTATCTGTCCACACTGTTGAGATACTCATTAATAATGTTGTTTATCTTTTCTTTTTCTATACAAAAATGTCCAGGATAGCTTGCGAGAAAATCGACTACTAAGTATTTCACAGGCAACTGCATCCTCTCACAGTGCAAGTGCCGTCTTAGGCATATGGTAAGAAATCACCTGGTTTGCAGCTGCTGAGATTCTAACTATAGTTTCCCGTGATCTTTTTTCCAACTTCATCGACTGCTAGATCATTCCTTTGGGTGTCATACTGTATTATACTTAAACTTATACTGGCAAGCTGATCTTTTTTTATGACGGTGGTGTCCGGACCAGCTCATGCACACCTCACCCATTCCACCGATTACTTGCTATCCCCCACCAGCACAGGTATCAGGTAACACCGTCAACCACGACGTAGGCAGATAGGAAGAAATCATCTAGTGCTTTTTTGACTGGCAAGCTGGTCTAGATATATTGAAATGGATAATGAGGATTCGTATAACCGATCCCAACTAGCTCAAGATTGAGGCTTAGTTGTTGTTTATTGTTGTATATAACGGGGCATGCTGGTCATAGGAATAAAAGTTAACACTGAACCTACTGTATGAATATCATGGATAAACACAAGGGCAGGTTCAATCATTCTAGATAGACATTATACTTAAAACATGTTAGCAGTCATCAAGTAACGAAAATTTTAAAAAGGTTAATTAACTGATATAAAACCTGGGAGAGAAAGTACAAAGACAAACAAGCAATACTTTACATTGTGAATTCTAAACAAGCAACTTTGCGTTCTCATTGCTCGAGCCTATGTCTCACTGGCCCATAGCATTTTATACTAATATTACTACAGATCACAAAAAACACAAAGCATTTGAAGCCAAATAACTCAAAGTAAATTTCTGCAACAAAAAAAAAACGGCTTACGCTTGATGAAAATTCTCAATAGAATAAGACCCAGATGCGAGAATGAAAAGAACGGTAGAGAAAACGGCGATTTGCCAAGAAAACTTCATTCTTGATCTGGGTTGGGGATTCAGCTGCTGTTATCTTGCAAATGCCATAAAGTTACAAGCATTGAAAACTGAAGAATTTGGGATTCCAATTTCTCAAGGAGAAAGTCATGTGCAAAAGGGGTGCACGTTAAGGATCGTGGACCCGTCTATTGAGGATTTGGTACTTTTGGGGTTTCAGTTCAGAAAACAAATGAAAAAGAAGTGCAAAGTATTAGATTCTTGCCCGAGTAGAAAGAATTTGGAATGTAATAAACAAAAAAGAAACTTTTACGAATTTCCTTCCGAAGGGTATTATTGTCAATTAACAGCTTTCAGAGTTGACCCCAAGAATTCAACTGGACGCGACACTAAACTCGAGAAGCTATTGGACCGGGCTGCACCTGCACGGCCTGTTTGGTCTAAATTAAATGGGCCATAACTTGGGATTTGGGAAGTGTTGGGGAAAAATTCAAAAATAACCAGATTTAGAAATGGTCATTCAAAAATAGCCACAGTTTCAAAAGTAATCGAAATTTAGCCACTTTTCATGTAAAGATAAATCTGAACGAAAACACTGTTCAAAATCCGGAAAATACTCCAGCATAATATACTGGAGTTCCAACATAAGTATATTATAATGGAGTTCCAGCATAAGTATACTAGAACTCCAGCATAATATACTGGAGTTCCAGTATAATATATCGGTCCAGTATAATATGCTGGAAGTTTATACACACGTACTCTAATCTTCAGTATATTATGCTGGAACTTTCCGCGTGTTAGAGCATAATATGCTGGAAATTCATACACAGTTGCACTGATCTCAAGTATATTATGCTGGACCAGTCCTTGTTGTAGCAAAATAGTGGCTATTTTATATTGACTTTGCAAATGCTGGCTATTTTTTAATGACCAGTCCGAAAATTGGCTAGCCCGTGCTATTTTTACGAAGTGATGTCCTTGAGGCAAGCACATAAATAGCCATTCTCAAGAATGTTATTTAGAGATTAACCAGTATTTATTTTATCCTGAAATTTTAAACTAAAAATTTTAACTTCAAGACAATTCAGAATATTATTTTTCTGAAAAACTAAAAATTCAGAACGCACGGTGTTTACCTTTAAAATACGAGTAACAATTAAATTTGATTTGTGATTTTAAAGATACGTGATTTAGTTCAATACTAATTAATAATCAAGAAATCTAAAGTATAGATGAAGAAATAAGTAAGACCAAACCAATGGATATGCCAGTCTCGACCTCGAGCCCAGGTGACCTGGAGATTGCTCAAGGACAATAAAGCAAGAATAATGAAGCTAAAGGACAATTCTGATGAACAATGAGCGAGAAAAGTAAGAGAGTATATTCTTTGCCAATGATTAGATCATGTTCACAAATGATTGGGGTCCCCTTTATATAATAGGGTAACCCTAAATAAGGTACGTTTCTATTTACAGTAGGGAATCTTATTGGGATAGTTGTATAACCGCTTAGCACAGATTTGTACTAATTTGTACAAATCTATCCCGGAATTTACGTGATCTTGGGGACGTGGCAGGAATCTTTTCCTTCTATAACAAACTCATAACGACACTGTCTCGAGGTCGGTTGTACTTGACTCCGATGCTCTTCGAGCACTTAGGTCTTCGAGCCTCTTATTCTACCCTCGAGCTCGAGCTTGGTCTATATCAAACTTTTGTCCTCGATGCAACTTCTCGAGCCTAAATCGGAGCATATGATTTTGACCGTATACAGATAGTCCCCGTATTCCTTAGAATAAAATGATAAGAAACAATTTGATTCTCAACCCTTCGATGCCTCGATCATGATGCCAATCTTGTGACGTCAGCGACTGAAGTGACTGAAAGGTCGTGTCTACACAGTTTCCCAAGGTCATTAATTCTTTGATGGGTCCAACTCGATGCCTCGCCGGCTGACTATGAATCCCAACAGCTTTCCAGATGGAACACTAAATGCGCACTTGGCAGGGTTAAGCTTGAGGTTGTACCTGCGAAGTCTCAGGAAGAATTTCCTCAAATCCCCAATGTGGTCGGCCTGATGCTTTGATTTTATGATCACATCATCCAAATATACCTCATTACAAATAATTATTTACTTGAAATCTTTGAAATTATAACATTTTCAATGCGGCTTCAATCAATGCAATTCAACAATTTGCGATCATATAACAATGCCCACATAGCATGGTGTAAGCCTAGAGCTACCCGAACATAACAAGAATAGTAGCCACATACGGACTCTCGTCACTTCGTGCGTACACGACCTCCCACAATCAAATCACACATTAATTAAGTTAACCTATGGGGAGATTTTCCTCTTATAAGGTTAGAAAAGAGACTTACCTCGCTTCACGACCTACTTTTCGGTCCAAGCTTAAGCCCAAACCCTAAATTTGGTGCCAAACACTCCAAAACTATCCAAATAGCATAGAAACTAATCAATATAGGCTTAAAAGTTCATATCCCAACCATTAGGGTGATTCCCCATTCCAAATTACAAGATTCCTAAAATTCGACCCCGGGCCCACGTGCCCGGATTCCGAAATTTTTTGAAGAAAGTTGTTACCCATAGCATAAGGATCAAGAATATATGATTTTTACTCCATTCCATAACAAATTTCGTGGTTAAATCTTATTTTTATCAAAACCCTAGGTTTTACTCAAATCCCATGATTTTTACTAATTTTTGTGTGTTAATCTATCCAAAACCCAAGTATTAAACTCACATTAAATAGAAATAACTTACCTCACAATGCTAGGTTGAAATCCCCTCTTTAAAAGCTCCCAAATCACCCAAGTGTAGAAGTGAAATGAAATAAATGGCCTAAGTCCCGTTTTTAAAAGTTGTGTCCAGGCCTCTGATGTCGCATTTGTGACATCAGGTTCGCAAATGCGAAGTCGCAATTGCAACAAAACCGAAAATGCGAACTGGGCCTCCCTCTGCCTTGATCGCAAATGCGACAGAGGGGTCACAAATGCGGACCCTACTGGTCTCGCAAATGCGAAGAAAACGTCGCAAATGCGACCACTACCCCCAGCCAGGCTTCATCGTAAATGCGATGTTTTCCACGCAAATGCGGGGTTTGAAATTGCGAACATTCCATCGCATTTGTGAGACCTGCAACTTTGCCCAGAAACACCAGAAAACTGGGGTATTTTTCACCCCCAACCCACATCCGAAACTCACCCTAGCCCTCGAGGCTCCACTCTGAATACTCACACAAGTCCAACAATAATGTGCAAACTTGTTCGAGCGATAAAATCGCCGAAATAACATATAAAATTATGGATTTAACACCAAAATGCATGAAATCCTTAAGAACATTTAAAATTCCTTTTTTTACAACTGGACATCCGAATCACGTCAAATCAGTCCCGTTTCTTACCAAATTTCACAGACAAGACTTAAATGTTATATTGGACCTGTACCGGGCTCCGGAACTAACATACGGGCTCGATAACAACATGATCAAACATTATTAAATTTCTTTAAATCCTTAGATTTTCAGTTTAATAATTTTTAACAAAAATTATTACTCGGGTTCGGGACCTCGAAATTCAATTCCGGGCGTACGCCCAGGTCCCGTATTTTACTAGGGACCCTCCGGGATCGTCAAAACACAAGTCCGGGTCCTTTACTAAATATATTGACCAAAGTCAAACTTGGACTTTTAAGCCAACCTTAAGGAATCAAGTGTTCCGATTTCAATCCAAATCCCGAACTAACCAACCCCGCAAGTCATAAATCAGTTAAAGCAAGTACAGGAAGTATTATTTAGGGTAACTAGGTTCTATAAAGCAAAATGACCAGTTGGCTCATTACACTTTTCGTAAAACTAAGTCCCTAATTCCAAAATGTCGAAGGTAGGTCCTTCTATTGTAGTATCTCTCGATTCTTTGCTTCTGCACGGCCATCCGAACAAGTTCTGCCTCTCGTTTTTATCTAATAGCTCGAGGCTAGTATTCATGGCCTCATGATTTGACTCCTCCGATGCATGTCTAAACCTGGCGCTGGGTTCTCCGACCTCGACAGGGATAAGGGCCCCGGAGCCATATACTAAAGAGAACAGAGTAACCCTTGTGCTAGACTTCGATGTTGTTTGATATGACCAAAGAACCTCAGGTAGAACTTTTCTCCATTTTCCCTTCGCATCGTCCAACCTTTTCTTTAAGTTTTGAATGATAGTTTTGTTTGTTGACTCGATCTGTCCATTTCCATTGCGTGGTACGTTGTTGATAAGATCCTCTTTATTTTATGTGCTTCGAGGAACTCCATCACCTTGCTTCCGACGAATTATATTCCGTTGTCACATACAATCTCGGCAGGCATCCCGAACTGACATATGATGTGGCCCAGATGAAGTCAATAAATTCCTTTTCTCTGACCTTCTCGAAGGCCTATGCTTCGACCCATTTAGAAAAAAAATCAGTCATAAACAAAATAAATTTAGCTTTACCTGGTGCAGTTGGTAGGGGACCGATTATGTCCATTACCCATTTTATGAAAGGCCACGGGGATAGGACTGAGTGGAGTTGTTTTCCGGGCTGATGGATCATCGGTGCAAACAGTTGGCACTTATCGGATTTTTTACAAACTCCTTAGTATCTTTTTTCATGCTGTCCCAATAATACCCTCCTCTAATACTTTTGCGAATCAAAGACTCGGCGCCAGAGTGATTCCTACAAGTACCTTTGTGGATTTATCGTAGAACATATTTGGTGTCCCCCAGCCCTAAACATACCACCAATGGCCCATCGAACATTCTCCTGTATAATTTTCCATCTTCATCTAATGCGAACCTGGCAGCCTTGGTTCGTAGGGCCCTCGATTCTTTGTGGTTCGATGGGAGTTTACCATTTTTCAAATAATAGATATACTTATTCCTCCAATCCCAAATCAAACTTGTAGAATTTATTTCGGCATGACCCTCTTCAACCACAGACCTCGATAACTGGACGATAGTACCCAGGACGATATTATCTTCTTCAACTAAGGATCCTAAATTAGCAAGTGCATCAGCCTCACTATTTTGTTCTTGAGGCACATGATCTAGAGTCCACTCCTTGCAGCGGTGCAAAGTTACATGTAGCTTATCCAAGTACCGTTGCATTCTATCCTCTCGAACTTCAAAACTTTTGTTTACTTGGTTTACCACCAACAGTGAATCGCACTTGGCTTCAATGACTTCTGCCCCCAAGCTCTTAGCTAGATTGAGA